AAGTGAGCAAGTGAGCCCACACATGCGTGTTGGGGTGGGGGGAGGGAGGCAGAGAGAGAGGGAGACAGATAATTCAACTCAAACTAACAAAGGTGACATCATGACCTGAGCCGAAGTCAGACACTTAACTGAGCCACCCAAGCACCCCTGCCACTGTGCTCGAGGTTTCTAGACAACCCAAATTCTAGACCCAAAAGGCTACCTTCGAGTCTATTTCTGAACTTTCTGTTCTGCTCTATTTTGAATCTGCCTTTTTTTTTCATATTTAACAAGTATTACTAACGAAAAATTACGTGGTAAGAGTCAGAGAGCAGGTTTTCAAGTCAGAAGCAACAACCAGACCTTTAGGCTTTTAGGAAGTTAACTTTGCAAGAGCTAAAAGGATATAGTAAAGTAGAGCAAAAAATAGTAATAGTCCTAACTAGCAACAGTCCACGGACGGTCCAGGGAAGGGTGCTGGGAAGTGAGGGCAACTAAAAGGGAGAGGAAAATCCTCAACTTGAAGAGCCTGATGGTTAGTGAGAAAGGAAATGAGAAATGGTTAGTGAGAAAGCAAAATGCCACTCCTCAGTGGCAGTTTTCAAACATCATCATCATCTGGGGAAGGTTAAAAATAAATAAATAAAAGTAATGGGAGATGGACTGGGAGGCTGAAGTTGTATCCTCTGGAACCTGTATTTTTCAAACATTCCTGGGTGACTCTAATGAACATCCAGGTGGGGAACTACCGTCTTGTCCATCCAGTGATTCCAGAGGGTCTCCATGCACTACAGCCTAAGACTAAACTTAGCATCCAATGCTTGACCGTGGTGGCTAGTTACCAGGAAAAGGCTCGGATCAGTCAACAAGCAAGCGCCCCACTTTTTTGAGGGCCACCGCCCTTCACCTTGGCTGCCTCCCCAATTTCGTGCAGCGTGTACTGTTTGCTGAAGCAGATAAGACTTCAGTTTCATTACCAGGAAAGCCAATGACCCTAGAATGAACCCAATAAATGAGGTGCTGACATATTTGAAAAATACTTGATCTTTGGAACCTGATCTATTCCTAGAGTCAAAAGACTCACCCGTACCTCACACTAGTCTTTACTTCCTCGATTGGAAAAATGACAGAGGTGAGCTCTAATATATGAGATCGCCGAAGATTTGCCAGACGCTCATAATGACTCCTTAAGTCGATGGTTTTTTTTTCTACCAGGTCACCCAGTTTGCGGTTGTGCCTCTGAATCTTCTCCTTTTTCTCTTGATGCCGCTGTGCTCGAGTATAAAGCTTCTGATTCTTTTCCTTGGTTTTAAGAAGGCCTTCGGAATCTAAAATAAATAAATCACATGCAACAATTATCACTACAAATAGTTCCTGGGCAGTGCAGAACCCACCACACAAGCCTAATAAGCGTCTTCCTGCAGTTTAACTGAAAGCAAAAGCTCATTCAGGTTAACTAGATAAAGCTAAATGGAAACTGAGAGTTCAGCTTAAGTAGATTTTACACATAAATCAATGTGGACCATCACTAAAAGGACTCTGGGTCTCCATCTGTAGTCATCATTTGCAAGAACCACTCAACAGCTATCAAGTTTAAGCTCAGACCAGGCAGTACCTGACTTATGGTAAGCACTGAAGAATAACCACGTTGGGCAGAAAAGGTATCTAGTGCAAGTTTGAAAAACTTATTGGCCATCTGATTTTCCTGTCCAGCAAGCAGCTATTCTATGCCACATCTGAAGCTCCACAGAGACAACAAAAGCCCAGCCACACAACCAAGAAAGGAGACAGATGCTCATCCTGTCTGATGTGTGTCCTTTTCACGGAGCTCCTTCAGGTTTGGGATTAAGACCTGCTAGAGTGTTAGGTTGTGGCTAAACTTCTCTAAAGTGGCAAAAACAAGTTGTAAAATCTCAGAAAGACGCCTAGAAACAATGTAGGAGGTCAGACAAGTTCAAAATCAAGCTCATCATTTTCCCACAAAAGCCTCATCTTGATACCTAGGTTCTCTACTTAATGATTACACTTGACCCGCCCACTGCCCAAGTCAGTCCCCTGCTGGTCAATTCCATGAGCTGATCACTCCATGACAGTTCCTTAGATCTAGGGCTTTCTTTTCATTCCCACTGTTACAGTCTTATTAACTCTCACCCAAACCCCATCTCCAGCTTGGCTCCACTCCATGCTGTCACTCGCTCAGTCTTCTTCAACCGTAACCAGTGCCTGGCAGGTCTCCACTGCCAAACACAGACCGACCTCCCTGGACTTGAGGCCACCCCCACACCGGCACATACCCCACTGTTCCCTTCTGCACACCCTTCATTCAAGCCTCATTGAATTACTAGACACTCCAGACCTTTTCCACAAAGTGACACTATTTTTTAATTAGAGACAGAGAGAGAGAGAGAGAGAGAGGGAGGGAGAGAGGGATAGAAAGAGAGATTGCAAACAGGGGAGATGGGCAGAGGGTGAGAGAGAGACAGAGAGACAGGGAAACAGAGAGAGAGAGAGAGAGAGAGAGAGAGAGAGAGAGAGAGAGAATCACAAACAGGCTCCATACTCAGTGCAGAGCCTGACACCGGGCTCAATCCTACAACCCTGGGGTCATGATCTGAGCCAAAATCAAGACTTGGATGCTCAACCAACTGAGCCACCCAGGCTCTCCAAAGTGGAACTATTTAAATGCACACATGCATGGATACAGAACCAGTCATCATTCCCTTTATGAGGTCTCACTCCTATCCTGTTCAGATCAATGTCTCTCTAGGAATGCTATTAGCTTCTATTCCTCAAATGTCCAAATTTTTCTCATTCATTGAGGCCCCCCTCCATAAATGCTCCACAGACCTCTTGCTCTTCAGAGGCCTATGGCACTGTGGGTACGTCACCTATGGCACACGGCTTAGTTCCTTATACCAGATCCAACCAAAGCTTTGCTGTTCTCTGACTAAAATATAAGCATCCAATACGTGTTTGACACGTCCTCTGACTGAGGCCCACTGAACCTAGGTATTTCACTGTAGCCATAAAGTTTCTTGCAGTTTTACTTCTCCTTAGGTGCACATTCTCTTTACCATTCTTGCTCAATGTGGATGTTCTAATGTTTAAGTCTTTCTGGTTCCATCACACTAATTTTCCAGCAAGCTCATTCATTTTCATGATCTCTACTGAGTTCTTTGCCAAGTGCTCAACTGAATGTTTGGCCATATGGTGGTCAGACGTTTTAAAAACAGTTTAGAACTTAATACCAAGATCCTCCACAGATGGCAGGAAATCATTAGTCACCTAATCTGCACTAGTGCAGACTCAGCACTCAAGAGTTTCACTTGTCCTTCTCTCCATGCCATCTCCCCTAAACATAAAAGCACTTCGATGCTCTTTCTGTCATCTACTCTTGGTTGTTTGGATAAGGAAGTCTGTAGCACAGATCAACTCAACCTTCATTCAAGGTTCATATATGTATGTATATATATAAAATGTCTGTATTATTCTATATCATGACACATAAAATCAAAAGATTCCGGAGAAATATTCATCAGGCTCTACAGTTTAGAACATATAACCTTTTCTGAATATTTGTGGTATTTCAACAACAAAGTTAAAAAAAATATACTATCTACTGGGTAGCAAGCTCTTAATCTGTGAACTTGAGACCATGCATAGTTTCTGGAATCCATTAACTTCCTTAAAATTGTTTGCAAAATTTTCTGAGTCTCATCTGTGGTTCCCAACACTGGTAGGTTCAGCAGTACCACCCAGAGCAGGGCTACTCAAGAGTCGGCCTATGGATCTGGGCCCATCAGTAAACTTCTACCAGCCAGACAAGAGAAGTACAGAAATACAGAGTTAAGTTTAGCCTACAGATACTGCCTATCTCACGTGGCAATATGCCAGTGCCATGATATCCAAGTGTCCAATCATGCTTCCAGTATTTTATTGTTTTATAAAAGTACTGGTGTCAGTTTATGACAGATTAGACACCACAGAGGAAAAAACTGGTCTTTCACTCCAGACAGTTTGTGAACCACTGACGCAGTCCCCACACATGAGATTTCAATTTCTCATGCTCAGGGTGGGCCCTAGGGCTCTCTCTCGACCTCACAAGGGTCACCAGGTGACTCCGATGGCTTGCTAGGGAGAGAACCCACTGTTACAGGGTCCACTGCTTTTATTTAATGTTTTCCTTTTTAAAGCCCTTACTCCGACATGTGATGGAAAAATGTGACAGGCACACGTGGAAAAGTAAGACATGATCACAGTTAAAAGCGAAGACAGTCTAACCAGAAAGATTTGTTGCCTGTCAGCCCATGTTGGAAGTTCTGAGTGTGACGTGCCACAGGGCTGAAAAGAATGGTAACTGGTATTCCTCTCCGCCCTCTTCACCCTCTCCTTCAACAGAATCCACACCAACCTCCTCATAATCCTTCTCGAGGGCCTCAGAAAACTCTCCTTCCTCCATGCCCTCACCCCTATACCAGTGAACAAAGGCACGCTGTGCCTACACCAGGCCAAACTCATGGTCCAGGTGAGCCCAGGCCTCCTGTTGCTCAGCGTACGCACAGCTTGCTGTACTGTGGCCACGTCTCCATCAGGTACCACAGTAGGAGGCAGGCCCACTGCGTTTAGTACCAAATCTTCTCTGTGGCGATTTTGTTTTGGGGAGTTAGGAATCTGTTAAAATCAGCTGATCAAAGTCTTAAACTCGCTCATTAGGGAAACGCACATACTCAGTAACTCCAGAAATTTAAGGGGGCTCACAGATGCCTGGTGGCAAACCCCTGGTGTGAGCATCACAGAAGGCTGTGGAAAGAGGATGAACCAATGTTAAGTAACGAGTCTCTACACTGCTCCTGAACCAGGGCCTCTGGAGATGCATGTGGAGCTCAGTGGGTCACCGGCTGTCCACATGCTCAGCACTTCTTCACCAGGCTGCCTGCCATTCTAGCCTAGTAACCCTGTGAAACGCCACAGGAGCACCTTAGTAGGACATTTTCAAAGGAAGCTTTTACTCTGTTACATACCACTATAAAATACTTGCTTCTGAACGCAACGAGCAGACAAGAAAGGGATTCATGAGGTATGATGGTGACTCACTCTGAACTTTAAACACTGATTTTCAAAAATACATGTAATGTTTCTAAGGATACAAGATTTCTAAGAGGGCTCTCCTAAATTTTGACAACCATCTATGATAAAGTATGATATATGCAAATATAATGTAAGATTAATACAGATTAAAATGTGTATGAGACTCACTCATGGAGAAAAGCCAATATTCTGTGCTTCTGGAATGAACTGATAATTATAACTGAGTACCAAGCTTCCTGTTAGCAAAGGCAAATGTAAAATACATATTCCTTAATTTTTTTAACTGAGAGAAGTAGTATATTCAAAGTAGTTTTATACATACATATACATGTATATATATAATATCTCTTTGAAAAAAAATATAAATATATTTATTTATTTAAAATCCTTACAGAAATGTTTTACAAGAGGAGGAAGGCAAGCAGGAAACCTTTCCAGGTTGCTATTGCCTTCCCCCCTCCTCCTCTCTTTCTCTAGCTTATTAATCCAACAAAATTCCACACTGGCGCTTTATTAGGTCTAGAAGAAGAGGGGCAAATTACTTACTTATCTTCATTTCTTCATTTCCTTTACATATTGTTTGTTTTAGCTGTTCAATCCTCATCTTGCAGGACATTATTTTCCATCTCTTAAAAAAATATATATACAATAAATATCACAAATGTTGGTCTCTTATGATGAATATGATTATCTACCCAGGATCATTATTATTTTGAAGCATATCTTAGAAAACACAATGAAGAAAAGACCAATATAATTATACTTATTATAACTTTTGTAACTAACAATGGTGGATTACAAAACAGAAAAAAATGTCATTCTGTAGGAAATTAAGACAAAGAAATTCACATAGTTTTTTTTTATTTAAATCCAAGCTAGTTAACATATAGTGTAATAATGATTTCAGGAATAGAATTTAGTGATTCATCACTTACATATGACACCCAGTGCTCATCCCAAATGGCCTCCTTAATGCTCATTGCCCATTTAGTAGTCCATGCCCCACCCCACCCCAAGACCCCACCAGCAAACCTCAGTTTGTTCTCTGTATTTAAGAGTCTCTTATGGTTTGCCTCCCTCTCTCACATAGTTCTTTTATGTGTTAATGAGGACAGAGAAAAATGGTGAAGGATATTCTCAGGATATTCTCTTAACCTGCTCAGTCCAATATATAGCTAGTGATCCCATGTGGCTATTTAAAAGTAATTTGGAATTACATAAAATAAAATTCAGTTCCTACTCAACACCACCCACATGTCAAATGTTCAACACCACATGTGGCTACCATATTGGTGAGTATAGATACAGACAGACCACAGAAGATTCCACTACTACACTGCTTGAAACTCTTTATGCTATTCCCTGAGGAGATCATTAACATCACTGTATTATCTCACTAATACAATAAGCAACTATTACTTGCAAAATAATAAAAAACTCAATAAAAACAGAAGTTTTTTTTCCCCTAAGGTGAATAAAAGATCAGTAAAAATGCAACCTGCTAGTCAAAAAAAATATGATTATCTGTTCTGTAAACGTGGATAATTCAAAGCTTAAAACAGCATTCAAATGTTTATGGTGTTTAACACTGGTCTTAATCCTGATGGTATAAGAGGTAGAGCAGACTGCAGAGATAGTCCAGCTGGCGAAGTGCTAACCTCTCTGCTGGACAGACATTTGAAAACAGATTCATGGGGACTGATGGATGGATTGAGAGATGAAATAGCAATGAGATGTCTTCACTTTTATAGGGTATTAGTCTTTAAGAACCAGTACTGAAGTTTTTGATAGAAAAACTAGAAAACAGTACAGGGAATTTAGAAACATGGAAATGGGATTCTTTATAAATAGCCTTTAACGATCTTTTTCTATACGACATACTTTGTTTCTGTAACAGAGCATAAGAATTCACTTATATCACATATATTCTTCAAGTATTATTGAAAAATTATGAGTGGTGCTTATTGTGAAAAAAAGTAAACATCACAGAAGAGAAAAAATAAAATGATCGTTAGCTTGACTCCTTCCCATTCTTCAAGGGTAATCTCAAAGTTTAATACGTATCTTTTCAGATATTTTTAGAGTATATTTGTATTTAAAACACATACACAGATGGAATCATACTTTACTCTAGCCTTTTTGTTTGCTCTTTCATTAAAGAATTTATCCTGGACATCATTCCGTATCAACACATATGGATTGATCACATTCTTTTTTAACAACTACACGGTATCCATTATTTATCTTATCCTGTCTGATGAGCATTTAAGTTATTTATGGATTACTACCCATGCAGTAGTCAATCAGCTTCTCTATCCATTAATCCCTGTATTCACGCATTTGTTTTAGGAGGAAAATTGCTAAATACCACATGTGTAATAAAAAACAAAAAACAAAAACAAAACCCAAACCACCAACTTATCCTCCAAACAAATATGTCAATGTATATATTCTCACCAACACTGAGTAAAAGTGTTATTAATCAAACTCCCTATTTTCATATGTTGTACTCATTTTGTCCCAGTTTATGTTCATTTTGCTCAGGGTCTCCAACACACAGAACTTTTAAACTTTTATGTAGTCTGTCAAAATGTTTTCCTTTATGGCTTATAAAGGCCTGCTTATCTGCAGAGTACATGAATACTCTCCCATATTTTCTTTTAATATTTTTAGGAGTTTACTTTTCACATTTAATCAGCAATCCATGTAGGGAGTGTATATTTACAATGAGTAAGTTTTTTTTCAAAAAGGACAGTTTATGGTTCTTGTATTCCTATGTCAATACCAGACTTGATACTTATCCTTTATAATGGCTCTAAAATTAACTGCCAATATTCGGTGTTTGGTATCTAGATAAAATATGTGAGGGCCCACACTACAAATATATTCAAATAGAAGACTGCCAAAAAATGACCAAAATAAATTTAAATTCAAAATGAATTTTTAAGCACTACCAACTTAAAAGCATGTAACCTCACATAGAAAGAGTATTCTTTAAATACTTCTTACAGCTTACCAACTGATCTGTTATCCATTTTCCTTCCATAGCTTTTAACACCCTGTACAGAGAAAAGACAATAATAAATTTTGTAAAGTTCCAAAATGTAAAATCAATGTGTTTTTATTTTTTTTTTTTTAATTTTTTTTTTCAACGTTTATTTATTTTTGGGACAGAGAGAGACAGAGCATGAACAGGGGAGGGGCAGAGAGAGAGGGAGACACAGAATCGGAAACAGGCTCCAGGCTCTGAGCCATCAGCCCAGAGCCCGACGCAGGGCTCGAACTCACGGACCGCGAGATCGTGACCTGGCTGAAGTCGGACGCTTAACCGACTGCGCCACCCAGGCGCCCCTAAAATCAATGTGTTTTTAAAGTAACTTCTTCAAAATGGCTGGAAATACCAAAGTGGAACTTGGGCATTTAAAAATGTTTTCCAAATTCCCCATTCTCTAATTTTTTTCGTCACCTCCTTCTTTCTGTGCTTTAAAAAAAAAATTTTTTTTTAAGTTTATTTATTTTGAGAGAGACAGAGAGAGTACAACTGGGGGAGGGGCAGAGAAAGAGGGAGAATCTCAAGCAGGCTCCAAGCTGTTAGCGCAGAGCCCATGTGGGGCTTGAACTCATGAAACTGTAAGATCATAACTGGAGCTGAAATCAAGAGTTCGGATGCTTAACTGACTGAGCCACCCAGGTGCCTCACTTTTTACACTTTTAATACTGCCCAGAACGTTTCTGTAAACATTCATAGTAAATTTCCATAACAACCAGAGCCTCTGTCCTCAATCATAATCAATCATTTCCATCAGTCATAATTATTAATAACAGTTGCAAGAGTATTCATGATATAAAATGTGGATGTTCAGTTTCTAAAGAAACGGCACAACCTGACATCTGTACAAATCTGTTCTGTGGGGTGAAAGGTTCTATGGAAGAAACAGAAGTTCCTGTGATTAAGTTAGAGAAATGACTTAAATAAATCTAAGCAGGTTTCTGTCAGGTGGGGAGTCTCAGAAGATTTAATCTGCTTACAAATGTGTTCATCAGACCTGGGGTGCATCTGGAGGAAAGCGACTGAGTCAGTTTGGGACAGAAGATTCTACAAGACGATTCTCAAATCCAGAGAGTAGGAGATTCATCAGGGGTGCATGTTAATAACTCAGATTCCAGCGCCTTCCCCCACTCCACACCCAGTGAGTCAGAGTATCTGAGGATAGGATTCCAAGAATCTGCATTTTTAAGGCAGTAACATTAGCTAATGCATGTAGATGATATGCAGACCACAATTTGCAAAAACGCTGATCCTGAAGAAGAAAGATAAATGGAAGGGGTGATGCCCTATAGGACACTTATTTGCCTACTGTTCTGGACCCATTTGCCCCACATCAATTATTAGGGCCAGGGATTTGATTCATCCGTCTAGTCACTGAGTGCCTACTGTGTACCAGGCACTGGGTATGATCCCAATATTTTCTAGGAACTTGATAATCTCTCCTATTTTGCTTCTTCCATTTGCACTGCTCTTCCATACTTTGAAATTGTATCCTTACTTCAGCAAGTTAGCAATCCATATATCTGCATACCACAGCACTGAATTAAACCACAGGGTGACAAGAGAACCTCCACACATGGAAAAACAAAAGGGAAACTCACTCTTTTTGAAATTCTTCTTGCTTGCTCTTAAGTTGGTTTAACCTTTCTTTCTTGTCTATAAACCTGTAAGAAAAAAATGTATTGTCTTAAATGTTCATTCTTTAAATTTTTATTTTATTTTTATTTTTTATTTTAGAGACAGATAGCTCACGCACAGGGGAGGGAGGAGGGGGGGAGAGAGAGTGAGAGAGAGAGAGAGAGAGAGAGAGAATGAGAATCCAGAGTAGGCTCCAAGTTCAGTGCAGAGATGGACACAGGGCTCGGTCTCATGACCCTGGGGATCATGACCTGAGCTGAAATCAAGAGTTGGATGTTCAACCAAGTGAGCCACCAAGGCACCCCTTAAATATTCATTCTTTTCAGTTCAGTGAGATTTTGCAAACCCCTGAGAGCCAATCATTTCTGCAGAGTCATTTGGAGATGTCACAGTCCTGAAAGTAAGTACACATCTTCTCAGTCGGGTGCATACACAGCTGCTTATGCCATTTGCTCATTTCCAAACTAAGTTCAAATTCTCAGCTTTAACATTCTTTTATGGGAAGGGCACCTGAGTGGCTCAGTCAGTTAAGCATCCAACTTGGGCTCAGGTCATGATTTCGAGGTTCTTGAGTTCGAGCCCCATACTGGGCTTGGGATTCTCTCTCTCTCTGCCCCTCTCCCACTTGTGCATGCAAAATAAATAAGTCAACCTTAAAAATAAAGATAAATAGGGGTGCCTGGGTGGCTCAGTTGGTTAAGCGTCTGACTTTGGCTCAGGTCATGATCTCATGGTTGGTGGGTTCGAGCCCTACATCGGGCTCTGTGCTGACAGCTTCAGATTCTATGTCTCCCTCTGCTCCTCCCCCACTTGTGCTCTCTCAAAAGATAAATGTTAAAAAATTTTT